CGAAGTCCCGCCCATCTACTTCCGCCCCATGGGACCTTATTTCGGAAAAAGTATGTATTGAAATCAATGTGGAGAGAAAACGTATCTTTCGACCCCGTTTGAATTGTGCCACGAATTACACATATGATGTTTGTCAATCTTAAAAATTAATTTCCATGTCAAAAAAGTCACAGTTTGTCGTAAAACTGTTGAAATATAAGACTATGAAAAATGCGCAACTAGAAAGACTACAAATCCCAGAATCCCGGTCCCGCATGCTGGCTTTTACGGAACCGACTAACTCCCCTTGTGTGTATGTACAGCTCTCAACATGCCCAGACTTGGAGTGATTTTCACCTCTTTTAATACTTTTCGCCTCATTCTGAAAGAAAGAAGTGAAATGTGCCAACGTGACGGCCGTCTTGGTGTGTGGTGCGAGACGGGAGATGTAGTTCATTGAGCGGTTTCACAAAAAAAAAAGTGTTACGACACATTTTAATGTTTTTGACTTGCAAAATTATCTTTTAAATTGACAAACATCATATGTGTAATTCGTGGCACAATTCAAACGGGATCGAAAGATAATCTTTCTCTCTCCATTGACTTCAATGCATACTTTTTCCGAAATAAGGTCCCATGGAGGTCCACCGGAAAGGGAGGGACTTCGCTTCTCTATTGTTATATTCCTGTCCCGCTCCCTTTTATTTTTTTCTCCCAAGTGAGCCACGTGATTTAATACTGACATTTCAAACAACAAAATATCAGACAAAGACTTTAAGTGTAAATTGTGTTAATATTTTCACAATGTTTGACATTGTTTCCTTTTTCTTTCAGAGCCCAGTGACATTTTGTTTCAATCTAGTGTGCTTCAAGAAGACAATGACGCAGAAGACTATTTATTGTAAGTACACAAACAAGACACAAACCTTTTACTCAAACAAATTGATCAAATAAACAATTTCTCGATCAAAAAGGTAGTTGATCAGTTGATCAGTGTTGTATAGGAGATTTTCTGTCCATGATCTCATTACCAACATTGTTTAGCAGTTCAAATCAGATTGTAAGCACAGTATTCTGTAGGTGGGTACTGTACTGGTCTGATCCCCGCTCTTTTGTGTTCTCTGCACAGGAAGTACACAGCCATTTGCAGCCATGACAGCAGACAGAGCTACAAGCAGGACTTCAACACGGAGTACAGCGAGTACAGAGATCTCCACGCTCGTATTGACGGAGTGACGCGGCAGTTCATGGAGCTGGACGCGCAGCTCAAAGAGCTACACCACGGAACACATAAATACAAGGTAAAAAACAACAAGAAATGCAGCTCTTAATTTGATGATCTCTGTCAAATGATAGTGCGTTTACATGCTTCAAATTGCTTCAAATTTAGTTTGAGAAAAACTCTTATTAGTTGCAAGCATATTCTCCATGTTCAAATCTTCATTTCATAAAAATGATAATTGATCATTTCAAAAGAATGGGGGTTTTGCAGAGAGCACATCACACGCTGAAGTGTTCCTGTGTTGTTCTCACATTTATCAAATGTTATCATTGAATTTCCAACTTCATTTAATTAATATGTGAAGCCATTTTTTTCAAAAGTAGCAGAACTAAATGGTTTGAAATTATTGTAGAGATGATTTAGGTTTTGTTTTCCATCAAATTCATATTTTTGTGAATGCTGCATAAAATAACTAATGTATTGAATTATATTAAGGCCTAATTCATTTTATGTTTCTCTTGCAGACGGTTCGCAATCAAATTCTACAGGAGTATCGCAAAATTAAAAAGGTAAGAACTTTTTCAAAGCAGAAATATCTTCCCTATCTTGTTGCATTGAGGAACTCCACTTCTCTTTTTCTTGGTTAAATAATCATGTATTTTCCTTATTATTTTTCTCCCTTGTTTAGTCCAACCCTAACTACAACAAGGACAAGACTCGCTGTGAATATCTACACAACAAACTGGCCCACATCAAGAAGCTCATATCAGAGTACGACCAGCAGCAGCTCTGACTGTTGGACCGGTGAACTCCAGAGAGAACAACAGTCATCCTGACGGGTTCACAACGCTGAGCTGAAGCAGAGGACTGAGGTCTGCGGCCTTCACGGCTAAACGTAGTTTCAGAAGTCCTGCTGGAAATGTCCCTGAGGATGGGGATCGTTTGTGCAGAACAGACGTGGAAATATAAGAAAAGCATAATTGTAATATGAGATATTTTCTTACAAGATTGAAGAAATCTTTGAATCAATGGGCTGCTACTACAGTGAACCAATACTGCCAAGGTCAGAAGGAGTAACAAAGGTTTTATAAAAGCTCCTGAAGCTACAACTGTGTTCTCAATTAAAAAAATGCAATCAGCTTCATGTGGAGATGAGGTGCTAATATAAAAAAAAAATAATATGTATATTCCTATCGTTTTTTTGTAAATTAAATCCGTGTGTGTGTTCTGTCCGCCATGTCAGCTTTAACGTTTAAGAAAGCATGATAACTTCATAATGTACATTTGCAGACAGAGAACCAGCTGGGAATCGTCCTGAGAAGACGTCTGTACTGTGGGATGGGTAAACTGAGACTGCGTCAGTGTTGTTGTGTCAGTTCTCCTCAGGCCTGATCTGCTCTGTAATCACTCCTGAAAGTATTGCCAGTGCCTGAAATGGTTTCTAATCCCAGACTGGATTCATAGTATTCCACTGGTGTTATCCTTAATGCGGCTTCCCTGGAGGGCTGGAGACTGTTATGTTCACCACAGTGTTAACTTAAAGTTGGATTCAGGGAACTCGCAGGATGATTACTGGTTTTAATGGTCAAAGTACAGAAAGTTACAGAGTCATTGTTACTGTATGCTGAGATTGTGGTTGCATGCTTTGTGCTTTAAACATGCATGGGATAGAGAAATGTTGTCAGACTTTTAAATAAATTCATTTGTATTCATTTTGTATGATCTATTACTTATTTCAGATATTCCTGTACAAGAACTGTCAGAAATATCATGCAGTTATTAATCCAACAATTGAAATATAATTAGGGAGTGGTGTAAATTAACTGAAATTGATGGTTTAAAGGTCCCATGTCATGCTTTTCTGGTTATTACCCGTCCCCTTGTGTGTTATGAAGGTTTTTATGCATGTAAACGGTCTGCAAAGTCGCAAACCCTCAAAGTACACCCTGTAGCGAGTAAAACTCTAACACAGAAAAGACCTATCTATGCTGTCCCAGAACGCCTCGTTGGAGATTTCTCTTTTTCCATTGTTTTCTTCCTGGGTACAGTGACGTGCCCATACCCAAATGGACCCATTGGTCCAAATGGACCAATCCGTGGAGCCGCTACGTTACGTCCGCGGAGCCGTTACGTTAAGTCCGTGGATTGGTCCAAATGGACCAATCCGCGGACTTCCTCACACACACTCAATCTTTTCTCAGCTGCAGCTCTGCCGATTTCTCCTCCCTGAGACGGCGGTACGCAGCCAGGCTGCGGGTGTGTTTGTGTGTTCGGGCTGGTTTCGGGCTGGGTTTCGCTGTGTCTCGCTGTCTCGCAGATGGCCACTGGGCTCATAGGGAGGGGGGGGGCAGGATCTCCAACAAGCCGTTTAGGACAGAGAGTGAATACACATATACAGAGATGCTGTATGAGAAACCAATGTGATTTTGGAAAATTGCACAATATAAATCTATTTTAGTATACCTCAACAATGGAATTATGATCAGTAGAAATGGCCATGACATGGGACCTTTAAAGGTGGGGTAGGTAATTTTGGAGAAACCAGCTTGAGTGCGCTAGAATTTGAAAATACACAACTGGAGAAAATCTGCCACTTCCTTACAGAGCCCCTCCTCCAACACACACGAACGCGCACATGACCAATGAGGGCACGAGATAAGTTTGTGCACAGATGGAAGGCTGACAGGCAGGTAGGCCATCCAGTTATTTTAGCCGGGCCGGCTAAAATGATTGGTCGTGCTTTTTACAGTACTACGGCTTCCACAGATGACATTTTTTTATGGATTTTTTGTCAAAGCACTTAAGATATTCATTGCTATCGGGTTGTTAAGAGCATTCCATGGAATATAACAAAAAGTGTATCTCGAGCCGGTTTCTCAAATGTACCTACCCCACCTTTAATGTACTGGAATAAAATATAATCTTAATCTATTCAAACTAGCAACAAACTAGTATTTTATAGTGGCAGAGACAGACCAGCACAAATTAGGGACAGCAAAACTTAACATGTAAATGCTGTTACACAAAGTGTAGATCACTTGTTTTACAGTAAGAGTGTTACAGTGATCTTAATCTATGTGTTTATTAACCTATTGATGGCCAAGTTTTTAGATTATAATGGTGCTAATACTCTCTTGCTTACCGTTTCTCAGGCAGGTGCATGAACAAAAAGGCTTGTCTGTTTGTGATGGTCTATAACAAAATCTCAACTGTGCATTTATCAGATAATGTTCATATCTTAATATTTTAAGGACTAGGCCTAATTGTATGTGCATCTGAAAATATCAGCAGTTTTGATTAATAGTTTACTATGTAGTCTGTTAGAGGTAATGTATGTCAAAAATAATAATACAAAATCTCAGCATTTATCACAAATACCCTTGAAATTAGAACATAGTTAAGAATTGGTATTTGATGTTGCAGGATTCAACCGGATGACATTTCAGGAGTAACATATCAGTGGTGGGGTTAGTCAGCACATGTTTGGTCATACATTTGCATGCCAGTCATGTTTGATCACTTAAATAGAGACCAAGACATTAGGACACCATTTAAACAAGCAATAGTTTTTGTTTCCAGTCCAGTCAGCACGTGGGGAGGACAGATAGATACTCCCTCGTGATGGTATAACATGTGAGTCATAAACTATTCTCTCTATAAATCGACATGAAGTGACTTTGTTTTGCACAGTTATCATTGGCTGCACAGTCACGATGAAAGGCTCACGGCTATTGGTTCAATCTCAAAGAAGGCTTCTGATTGGTCCATTATCAGCTCTACAACCTTTCACCTTTCAATAGCAAAACATGCTAGTTGAATACACTTACTGTGGCATGTATAAGTAACTTCTCTGCCCTTGAACTTTGTGACATATTTCTCACGGAGATATGACAGGAAGAAAGGTACACTGGCGGAGGGATGCAGGTTGTTAGCTGAACGTTTATGGTGAGTAAATAAAAAGATATCGCGCTGAATTCATGTCAAACTGTGTGCTAATTGAGCTAAGCTAACTGTAATGACAGTTATGGTTTAGCTTGTGTAGCTCTCCAGAAATGAACCTTTATTGTTGCCGAAACAGCGATGAAAAGTATTGCCAGTTTGCTGGTTGTTCGTTAACATAATATGTTAATACCCCGTTCTCGGGAAAGCGGTTTGTTGTTTCCTAATTGCATATATTGAAATACAATGGTGCATTCAAAGAACACAAGTAGCCTATCTTTTTTTTTAACATACCATACTTTGTAATTTTGTACAGATTTTATTTCAAAATACTTTACTATGATGTTTTTTCGGGTTTTTCGACATACCATACTATATTTTTTCAATTAGTTTTTTCAACATATTATACCATGTTGTTTTTTGATTGACTTAAGTGAAAATGTAACTAGTATCTTTCTTAATATTTATCCCACTTCAGCCTGTTTTGCCACCTTAACTCCAGTCATGGCGGGGATCTTCCAAAGATCACTAAGGCTGCGGACAGCTCTCAGGCATCTGAGCCTCCAAAGCCCCCTCTCATGGACAGTCACAGGAAGACATACACCTCTGGACCTCCACTGCCCATTCCTGCCCTCCACCTCATGGCAGTTTGCAGTCTGCAGTCGAAAGCTGCACACTGGGGGGGACAGGCCCTCTCCTGCTGCTGCCCCAGACCGGCTGCCTTTCTCCAGGATAACCCAGGAAGATTTAGCCTTCTTCAGGAAGATCCTACCAGGCCGAGCCGTCACAGACCCGGACCTGCTGGAGTCCAGTAATGTGGATTGGCTCAAGTCAGTGAAAGGTGAAAGTGAATTTACCTCATTCCACTTGAAGATTTATTTTCTTGTTGTCATTATCTTTAATTCCTCTGTTCTTACATCGTCTGCAGGCTCCAGTGAATTGTTGCTGAGACCTCAAACAACTGAAGAAGTTTCTCAAATTCTCAAGTAAAGACCAAATAGTGTGTGGAAAGAAAAATACAAGTCAGTGGTTTATGAGCAGTGTTGGGTGTAACGCGTTACAAAAGTAACGGAGTTACAGTAATGTATTACTTTTTGCTGTAACGAAGTAATGTAACGTATTACTAATGAAATTTGGGTAATATACTACCTGTTACAATTCTCAGTAACGCAGTTGCAACACATTTTAACCCGGAATTAAATGGTGTTTTGTTTTTTAAGAATTCACTAACATTGTGCGACATTCCGACACCAGAGAAAAAGTGTGCGGGTAGATTAGTAAGCCTGGTGTTTACCCTTCTGTCGGGTGTTCTTTTCCCCATAATGACCGCCTCGCTGCACATTATCCCGCTTATTACACGGCCATACTAAACAAACTACAGAGCCCATTCCGTGTTCCTGTTATTGTTTACTTCCTCTCTGCCTTCTTCTGGTGATTTATCTGACGTCCAGCGCTCCGTCTTTTAACCTCTTTTCCTTTCTCTTTCTTGATCCTCGGTAGTAACCTTCATTATAGTCCTTGACAGTGGTCTGTACTACTGGATTAACAACGTGTCACATGTTAAGAATTTACAATCAGAATCGAGTATTCAACTAAGCCGTGTAATAAAAGTTGTCAGTAGCCTTAATGCCCTACACAGTTGTTATGCTATACCACATTGCCCTTCACTGGATGTATAATGAGCTGCACTAAACTACATTTTAGCATTTAAAATACCTAGCCATTCTTTTGAGGTTATTTTGGTAAAGTAATATAAAAGTAGTGTAACTCATTACATTTCAGAGACAGTAATGTAACTTATTACTTAAAAAAGACAGTAATAAATAATATGTACTATATTACATTTTGGAAGTAACTTGCCCAACACTGTTTATGAGGGAGTTCAAGTTGTTGTATTTCCCTCCCTGTAGGTATTGTAACAGTCGTAATCTGGCGGTGAACCCTCAAGGAGGCAACACTGGGCTGGTTGGGGGCAGCGTGCCGGTTTATGATGAGATCATCCTCTCCACTGCCCTTATGAACAACATCCTCACCTTTGATAGCATCTCCGGTAAATACTGAACTTTCTAAATGAGCTGCCTGCCTCCAAAAAAGTTGTATTTATTCACAGCATTTTGTGTATTTTATTCCTTCTTCATCAGGCATTCTGACCTGTCAGGCAGGCTGTGTTTTGGAGAACTTGTCTCTTTACCTGGAGGACAGAGACTACATCATGCCTCTTGATCTGGGGGCAAAGGGCAGCTGCCACATTGGGGGAAACGTGGCAACGAATGCAGGCGGACTCCGTCTGCTGCGATACGGCTCCTTACGTGGGACTGTGCTGGGTCTGGAAGTGGTGAGTGGAGTAAAGGAATGACCAACAAATATTGTATTAAATAAGGATAACATACTTAATCTAATGTGTGTGTGTATGTTTCATGTACAGGTGTTGGCAGATGGGAGAGTGCTGGACTGCTTATCCACTCTGCGGAAAGATAACACAGGATATGACCTCAAACAGCTGTTCATAGGGTCAGAGGGCACACTAGGGGTCATCACTTCAGTGTCCATCCTCTGTCCACGCAAACCCAAATCTGTTAATGTGGTTTTTCTTGGTAAGATTCTTTTAATTTGTCATTAATATTGGCAAAGAATTGCTAAGCATGTGTGCAGTAGGAACGTGTTTTAGAGTGTAGCTGATTAACGTCAAAAATAGGTTTTATTTATAGATTATTAGGTAAAATATTGTGTCCTATTAGGCTGTGAAACCTTTGAGCAGCTGCTGAAGACATTTCAGCTCTCCAGAGGCATGCTGGGAGAAATTCTGTCAGCCTTTGAATTCCTGGACAGTGAGTGTATGAGGCTGCTGAATACGCACCTAAAACTACGCAATCCCATCTCTGGTAGGTACACACACAAATACACACATAGTTCTTAGTAGTAGTGGTTAAAGCAATTAAAAACACACACACACGACAAACTCTTTCCTCCATCCTGCAGATTGTCCATTCTACGTTGTCATTGAAACATCTGGATCTGACTCGACACATGACGGGGAGAAACTCCACAATTTCTTAGAGGAGGCGATGACGTCATCGTTGGTGACTGATGGGACTGTGGCAACTGAAGACTCAAAAATAAAGGTATTGTCTCTAATCTACAACACATTGGAAAGTAAAGAGAGTGTTGTTTCTGGTCTTTTTATTAGATGTATTGACAATATATTAAATTATCATTCTCAATCGTCTTGCTTGTTTATAGTGAATATGTCAGCCCTTTGAATCATCATGGTTTATTGCATTTATTGTAAGTTGCTTTGGACAAAAGTTTTTTTTTTTTTAATATTTGACAAAACATACTTTACCTTTTTTGGGACATACTATACTATGTATTTCTTCCAGCTTTTTTTACACACTGTTTTTAACAAGCTATACTATGTCTTTTTTTCCTAATATAATCAAGAAAAGCTTTGGATTTGAGCAAGTTATCAGTTGTATAGTAGTGTTGTTTAGTTAATATCTCTATATGGACTCAATAGTCAACCCATTTTTATCCTCACCATTGTTTAAAACCTTGGTTTGGATGGAAATGACAACATGCAATGAACTTTCCAGGCTCTGTGGTCGATGCGCGAGCGTGTCACGGAAGCGCTGACTCATGACGGCTTCACCTACAAGTACGACATCTCACTTCCTGTGGAGCGGATCTACCAGCTGGTGACGGACATGAGGGAGCACCTGGGGGACCGAGCCAAGAGTGTGGTGGGATACGGACACGTAGGTAAGACCAGAGGATGGAAAGACATAACAAAAAGTCTGTATATTTATTGGATGTGAAAAAGGTGGCCTGCTAGCATGAGATACAATTGGTCACCTATAACAGCTCAATCTACATCATGAAAAACATGTGCATTTGAACACAAAATACCTAGTTTGAGTATTTAGGTGGTTTTGGACACACCTCACTGTTCCACCATTTCTTTCCATCTGTACTTTAAGGGGATGGAAATCTCCACTTGAATGTCACCTCTCCTGCCAAAGACCCCGCTCTTCTGGCTGCCATCGAGCCCTTCGTGTACGAGTGGACGGCCAGCTGTAACGGCAGCATCAGTGCAGAGCACGGCCTGGGCCTGAAGAAGAGGAACTACATCTACTACAGTAAACCCAGCCAGGCTGTGGCTCTGATGGGGAACATCAAGGCCATGCTGGACCCTAAGGGCATCCTCAACCCGTACAAGACTCTACCAGACGACCTTAAATGACCCCAACTGTCTCACTGCTGTGGGGTTAGAGGGTATGTATACAGACATAGCTGAAGCATTTTAGCTATTACTTTATTACCATATTTGATGGAAGATCATGCCCTAACTTGTGATACCTTTTCACACATTTAATGCAGATGTTTCAAGTCGTGTCATTGTTGTCTGCAAAGAGTACTACTTTCAGATTAACATCCACTTCAACTAGCTGTTAAATGTGTACTGTAGAAGTCTCTTAGAATATCACAAGTGATGTTAATGCTAAACATTAAGAACTACCTCGGCCACTCACACTGAAAGAGTGTGAACCATTCCTTATTCCATTTCATTATTTTTTTAATTATATTTTCAGTCTAATGCAACAGTCCTGCCATTACTCCTGCCTTCATGAAGGTTATAATGTTCAGTTTCCTTGATATTTTGTAAACAGCAGTGTGCTGTTGAACTGAATTATACAGAGCTTTCTAAATCTACCCTAAGTGATATTAATGGGCAATAAAATAAACACTTTTCAGAATCACACAAACTGTTTTAATTGACTGCATTAAACTGGCAACTGAGTGTATATCTTTTATAAACTCATATCAGAGGCAACAGTGCAGTAAATGTTTTATTACATATAAAAAAGACAAAGCAACATTTTTCCAAAACAAACCCAGCTTTGCAAAGATCTGTAACCGCACACCTACGCAACTTCATCTGTTTTTAAATACATTTTGAATTAAAATGGAACAAATGTTTTTGTTTGTAATTCAGGCAATTGTGTGGCATGATGGGAGAAGAGTTGTTATGGAAGCCCTCTTTCTCTGAAACAAAACAACTCCAATATTCTTTTAAATGTCAGCTGTACCGAAACAAGCTTTCCTGGATTCCTCTCTGATTGCAGGGAGGATCATACTCCTAGGGTGCGTCTCACTTCGGTTATTTTTAATTTCCTCGCTCCTCGGTATCACCGGAAGTTGATTTGTCTGCGCCATCTTGAGTACCGTCCCATTGGCCTTATTATTATTATTATTATTATTATTATTATAGGACCGAGGAGTGATAACGGAGGAGCGATAATCGAGGAACTACCAGACCATCCTCCGGTGAAATCCTCAGACACTCGCCCCGCCCCCTTACTGTGTATCGCTCACTGATTGGACGATGCAGCGCATGCACTGATCTGGCTGCTGTCAGACAATCAGCTGTGCGGCGTCATCACAAACGGACGTCGCTTCACGTGACGCTCAGGAGGAAACAACGTCCCATTGCTCTTAAAACTCATGTCCCTGCTTCTCTCCATGCTTCTCCTGGTGGGAGGGACTAGTCGCAGGGAAACGACGCAAGTGAGGGACGCAAGGAATCCATTTAACCGAAGTGAGATGCAGCCCTAGTATAAAATACAGACTAATGCCTATTGGCAGGTACTTCCTGTTTATCTATTCCGGGGACCATGAGGGTAATCAAGTATCTGTAATACCGTATCCTATTTCTTAAAAATACAACAAACAAGCAAGAAACAATTTCCTACTTTTTCCCCTCCATTTCTCAACAAATAATTTCTTACTAGTTCCAATAATGCCAGTATGTGTACAGTGAGTCCAGTAGAGTAAATGCCTATATATGTATAAAGTCAGTTTCACCTACCATCAGTCTTACATGTCCTCAGTAGTGTGGAAGCCTTGGAGTTTAATAAATATCATAGCATTTAAAAAAAAAGTTAAAAACAAACAAATGTAGTTCCATTGGCTCTTTTCCTCTTGTAAGTGAACATAGTGTGTGTCTTTGTGGCAATAGTTGGCATGTTTTGGTAAAGCTAAATGAGTGAAACACTTCTGATTGTCTCTGAGCAGAATGCCACGAACACAGGTGTGTGTGTGTGTGTGTGTGTGTGCGTGCGCAGTCTTACGCGGGCATTAAAGCATTGGGATGGAGTACTACAATATGCCATCCCTGTTCTTCACACTCAGTAACAGTCTGTAGTTCAGGTCAGTGCGAACACAAGGTGTGTGTGTGTCCTGTAACAAAGGCTGGCGTGTTCAGACAGAGCCGGTCCAAACGTCTGTGAGCTCGTCAGAGAGATGGGTGTCAACCACAGAGAAGGGTGAGGCTGGGGGACACCTGAATAACTCTTTCCTCTGGCCCCCCCTTTATCGTCCTTTTTTGTTTCACAAACACGGGGGTCTTCTCTGAGCCGGCCGGTGAGATCAGGCAGCTTCCCATGATGCTCCTCCCCCCCCTTCTCACGACTCCTTGCCCTTCTCTAGAGAGCTGTGGATCTTGTCCAGGGTCTTCTTGATGCGCAGCGCTGTGAGCCGTGCAGAGGGGTTCTGGTACCAACACTCCTTCATCAGTTTCACCAGAGCAGAGAGAGTCTGAGAGAGGGGAGAAAAGACGACTATCAAACACGACATGCAATAGAAGGAAGGTTCGTATTCCCCAAATCTAAATCAAATATGGGCCAGAAAACACTCGTGTACAGAGCCATGGTCAGCTAGAATTCCATATCATTCAGGAAAATTCTCAAGTACATTTCAAAAGGTTGCAAAAAATTATCTCAGTATTATAAAGTAAAATTGAACTGTGTATGTACAATTATTTGCATTTTTTTGTTTGGCCTTATGATGGCTAAAATTGGACGACCATTTTAGTTTTCACTTCATATAGCACTGTAAATTGCATGAAATTATGAGCTGAGTTGTTTTCTGTATGTTTTGTGTGTGTGAGGACCCCAGGAAGAATAGCCAATGCTCATGCTAGTGCTAATGGGGATCCTAATAAGAATAAGAATAAAATGAAGATGATGGGGATATTTAAGGATGTCATGCAGAGATACACATTGAGAGGAAACTCTGGTAACTACTGGTGACAGCAGCTTTTAGATTTTTGAAGAGCATTCTGGGTATTAACGGGGTCTGGTTATCTCACCTGCATCAGTTTATTTGGCCTTTATGTATAGCATTGAATAGTTGCAAAGTACACTGATGTGAGGGACCAGTCATGTTTCTTAAGGTTTATGGCTTGTGTTAATATAATATTACATTTAGATTTTATAGTTTGTTTAATATCATTTTGGAGTATGTCATTAAAAAGTCAAAGTACAGTATGTCATAAAGAAATGTCAATATATAGTATGTCATAAAAAAAGATTAATAAATTATCATAAAACATATCATCTGTCACGGACATTAACAAGTAATAAGAAGGCCTTATTATGGTATAGTATGTCCCGGTATTAAACGGGCCCCGGGGCTGAATTATTAAAGACCGTGGTACCGTTAAGCTCCGACGTTATCGGTCTTTTTATCGGTACTGGAGACATTTAAAAAAGATATGTCATGTGTATTATTGCTACACAAACATTATATCGCAGTCTTAGTGTCGCCAACTCCGTTTCTAATACGCAAAAAGACAAAAAAATGCGTCTATGATGTATTTTCGATCTTTCCAATCCAGACGAGATCTCTCTCTAACTAACTAAACAAAATAAATTAAATAAATAATTTAATCGTGTGCGAGGGGGTGGGGCGGTTTACACGCACGCTCTGCTACATGCATGCAACACACACGGAGATGGCGGAGAGAACTAAGTGCTCCAAGGTGTGGTTAAACTTTACCCGTCTCGATGTGGACAATGCTTGTTGCCAAAAGTGCAATAAGAGTTTAGCATTTAAGGGCGGTAACACGAGCAATTTATCTAAACATCTTGCACCACATACAGACGGAGAAATGCACTGTCTTTCTAGTGGCTCTGTAGCACCATCCACGAGTAACGTTTCCACGTCAGGTATGCTAGCAGCAACACACGGAGTTAACTCAATGATACAAACATGGGTTAATGATTAGAGATAACAGAGTTATTTATTTTGTTAAAGTTTCAGCTATTCTGTTCACAGTTCTGTCATCAGATTATTTAATATGATTTGTCAAAACACTGTTTCTTTTGATGTGAAATATTATTTATTTAATTTATTTTGTTTAGTTAATTTACCTTTTTTTCTTATTCAAAAGAACCGATAAGAATACGGCTAAAGGACCGGATCGATAAGCGGTATCGATAAAAGTAGTAGTACCGTTAAAACCTTAACGATACCCATCCCTAATGGTAATAGTATAGTATGGCATAACATTCTCATGAAAATGCCATGAAAAATGTCCAAAGAAAATAATAATATAGAAATCCATTAAAAATGTCATAGTATAGTATGTCATAAAGCACTGTCATAGTATGATAGTATCCATAAATTGAAAAAAAAAAGGTCATAAAAGAGTCAGAGTACAGCATGCCATACATACATTGATTAAATAGAGTAAAAGACTAATACTTACAGGGTCAGAGAACCAGCGATTAGGAATGAAAGGCCTCTGCTGCTCCACACACACCACCTTCCTCATGTCCTCGAAGCTGGGGTCATTTGGCACCAGATCGTAGAACGGAGGCTTGTACTCCTCAACAATACCTGAGGGGTCACATGAACATTATAGAAATAAGTAAATAGAGTAAATGGATATGCAAGTGGCAAATTAGGTCTCTCTCTTAACAGCCGAGCCTGACGCTGATATGCAAATACATGTTTATTAAGTCACAGTCCTCAAAATGCACAGAATGCATGTGACTCACCATTGCTGTATGTGCGTCTTGCTATCTCCCACAGCACCAGCCCAAAGGCCCAGATGTCCACCCTCTTATAGGCGTCGAAGCAGTCGATCTGAATGCTCTCGTCCAGAACCTCGGGGGCCATGTAGCGCTTGGTGCCCACCTTGGGGTTGTTGCCCACATCCAGCTGGTTGTCTGCCTGCGAGTGGGTCACAGCCAGCCCTGAAACAGCCAGTTACACACAGCACTTTAGTCAACCTTAGAAACAATCTGGGCACATTTAGAAGTTCTGGCATGGATATACACCAGCTGAAAGGTGGGCATACAGAGATGCTTTGAAAAAGACCGATAGACTGCAACCTAAAAAACACAATGCTGGTTTCCAAACATAACAAAATGCTCAGAAGAAATAGATGCATGATTTACAATTATGACTTACATTTTTTTTAACACTTTACCATGACATTTTTATGAATTACTGTACTATGACTTTTTACCATGTGATCTAACCCTTCTGTAATTGTGTATTGATGTCATCTCTGTCAAATGTGTGTGGGAATGTATTATATATTTTTGTAATCAATTCATCTGTTAATGCTACTTAAACATGTTACAGAGACAAGTCCCACGGTTAGTCTGATGTATAAAGTACTACATAAGAGCTCCAACAGGAAGGGACTGAAATCCCAGAGACTACCAGAATAAAAGTGGTAGAAATAAAAGTAAGATCCTGTCTGACGGACTGACCGAGGTCTGCGATGCAGCAGCGCAGCTCCTTTGTGACCAAGATGTTTTTGCTCTTCAGGTCTCTGTGTGCGATGGCCGGTTTCCCCTCTGTGCCGAAGATCTCCGTGTGAAGGTGCACCAGGCCGCCGGCTATCGACGCAGCCATCGCTAAGCCCTCTGACGTCTCCACGGCAACTCGTTGCAAGTAGTCATAAAGTGAGCCGTTCTCATGGTAATGGGTGATGAGCCACAGCTGGGTGCTGGAGTTGCGAGACGTCATGTCAGACGCCATGAAGCCTGGGAGAAGAGACAGCATCATCAAAATATGTTTTATTTGTATTTGCTGTTATGTCAATCTTGGTACCTATCAGCTATCAGTGTGATGATGCTGGATTGCATTATATTATACGCTTTTTAATGTGTTCACCTCCACAGAATGTTTCCAACATTGAGGTGTTAAGATACAAGGACATTGAAGGGATTTGAGATGTATCTACAACAAGGAAATTGTATTGTAAACTGTATTCTTGGAAACAATATTAAAACACGCTCTGAAAGGAATGAATGCAGCCGAGTTGGGATTGGCAATATGACCTAAAATAAACATCCGGTTTTTTGGCAGGTATTCATCATGGTGAAAATGATACGCAACACATAACTCTACCTCTTTTTACTCTATTGGTAATGCTAGGGGACATATGGAGAGATTTATTTTTTAAAAGCGGATGTGTTTATTGGCTCCAATTAGAAATGAAATTGAGTTACAGTCGAGACATGTGGTAAATCGTATCTTTTAAAACCAGAAACATGTTTTTGCTTGTTTAATTTTTCACACCTTGGAAACAACTGGTCGAACAAGATCTAACTGTTTAGCGTGAAGCAGACTCACCCAGTATGTTTTCATGTCTTAGCAGCACAGTGTTGTAGATCTCCGTCTCCCTGAACCAGGACTTCTCATCCTGGAGGAGAAGATTTTTACAGCCACGTTCTCGCCCTGCCACTGGCCCCGCCACACCTCCCCGTACCTCCCTTTGCCTGGGGAAAAAGAGGGAAGGGGGAACATTTCAGAGTGTGCATTTAGATTTGTTTTGGCTACATTTACACTGCAGCTGACTGAACAGATCTGATATTTCAACATCAACACCACACAGCCACATTTTTCAAATTCCACACTGGTACATCTGTACAGTGTGGCACACAACAACAACTCAAAGCATGTGACCTACATACTTTCATTTGAGTGTTCAAAAGGAAATTTGCCAGAGCTGCCATGAATAACTCTTAAATCACCAACATGAATACAAGTGTCATCATTTAATACAGGGGACAGAACCTTTAAATATACAGTATACACAAAGAATGCAAAAACAAAAGGAACACATGACCGGTGTTTATACAGTTGCTCCATATAATACAAATATGTGTGACCTATCATTGTTGCCCTTGCATCATCTGTTTGACATCACTGTCAGATCTGTATCTTCATACGGGTTTGATCCTAGAATAACTATGTGCAGTCATCCGAAACACTGATCATATCTACTGCAACCTGAAGTTGAGGCACGAATTACTGACAATGTGCATGTTAAATGAGCTGTGCGACCGGCTGCTTGTCGGTTTTTGTTTAAATCAGTTTTGTATAAATATTTTGTCAGTTGTGGCATTAAATTAATTGTTTAAAGCATAGAGTCAATAAACAGGACAGTTTTTCTATATATTTGACAGAATATGTGAGTTGCAGTTGAGGTGTGAGATTAACTTATATATAATCTATTTTTATTTGAAAATGTCAACCTATGTTGAAATAGTTTTGATGTAACAGGGGATGTGAGAAATACCCAAATAAAGAAAAAGGGGGAAATAAAAGGAATTTCCCCAGCAAGGCCCAATATGATTCAATCAGTTTGTCAGTCAAAGAGACCTGAATCCACCCTGCAGATGAGTGTGCTCTGCAGTGTGATAAACGTACCGACACACTCCATCAGGCTGATCTGCCGGGCCACGGTTCTCTGCACGAGGAAGGGGAGACCCGACCCGCTGCCCGATGTGCACGAGTGATCCAACAGGTCCTGAAGACACACAGATACCACATTAGATCCTTATGTCATCATCTTTAGAAGAAACATAAAATAATTTCTGGGAGGGGAAAACACCTTGCCAACAGACACTGTTAAAACTAGGAGTTAAAGGGAACCTCTCTTTACTTGTAGTGAAATTCTTTTAATTGGTTCAACAAGAACCTGTCTTTATCTTACCGCTAAAGTGCTGTCTCCCACATTGGAGGTGATGAGGCCGTCTATGGCTCCCTGCTCATTGTCGAACTCCTGCAGCCTCTGCAGACGGCCGTGGTGGAGCCTCCTGCAGGCCAGAACTGACACCACAGACAGCAGAGCCAGCACCACCACCGGACCGAGCACAAAGAGAGCCAACGTCTCCACACGGTACCGAACAGGCTCCCCTTCTGGGGCTGTGGACAAAGGGGAAAATAAGGAAAGACGATAAGTTGACAATTAATTGATGTGCTAAAATGAAGCATGGTATGATCTTATATCAACCTGTTGGCAGCAAAGACCTCAGCAAACTCCTGGTGTTGTTGTCGTTGCACATGTCCTGGGAGCAGCAGAAGATGGCTTGTCTGAAGGATGGAGCAGTGGAGCACTGCAGATGGATGTTATCCAGCCCGACCAGGCAGCCGTGCTTAAACACCACCCCGCTGCTGTCGAGGTTTATGGAGGAGAAGCAGCGGGCACCGGGGCACTGGGTGGCCTGGGGGCATTTTGGGCAGTCAAACAGACACGTCAACTGTCCATCTGTGGAAGAGAGGACATGAGTTCAGCATGTAGTCGGGCTGATTTGGAGAACATATATACAGTGTTAACGTAATTATGGCAGCAAGACAACAGAAAGACTTCCATCTAACAAAATAGCTATGAACTAAAAGACAGACAAGCAGCAAGGCTCTGGTCAGCCTCGATTAGATGTGTAGATGTTACAGGATGTTTATTTTGGAAATTGTGTATTTTTTTTTTTTTATCTTGAATTTTTTTTTATGGATGCTTCTTAGTTAAGCTGTCTTTGGCTCTTTTCTGCCGTAATAAATGTAAATTTCCCCTCTGTGGGACGAATAAAGGTATTCTGATTCTGATTCTCAGGAGTGCGAGTCTTGTACTACATGAAAAATGAATCCTATAGTAGCTTTTAACAAAATGAATCAAATAACAAATCCTCCAGTTATCCTAATTATGATTTAATTCATTAACCAAGACGTACCAACTGTATGATTGTCTGTTAAGCCACACTTTTCTTTCAGTGCTTTTGTGTAGTAGAGATTCATCGCTTTTGACGCAATGTATCATAAAGCTGCAGTAAGCCAAAATATTCTATTTACACTTTTAAGGAAAAATATACGTTTATTTTGGCTATTACGTAACTATAAATCTAAGTTTTACTCAGAAAAGTTATCCAGAAAACTCAGTGAACCTGGTTTTCCTGTTAGACTCAATTAAAAATAAATTATTCATTCATTTTGAAGATGCTTCTGCCTAAGAAAGAAAACAATACAGTCCAGGACACCACAGATAAAGGAACGAGGCCTTGTATAAACAGTGAAACATGAAGTTGACAGACAGTAGAGGACAGTACCTGAGCCCTCAGCCGATGTGTGCAGGGCCTGCAGCAGGAGCAGCAGGTGGAGGAGGAGAGGGACTCTGCACCGACCCATGATTCAGTGCGCTGACAGGGAGGAAGAGAGTTCAGATGAGTACAGGAGGATAATTACATTTAGCCTCTCTACGTTTCCTTGTGATCGCTGCAAAGGCTTCAGGCAGAAAGGAAGCAACAACTTATAGAGACTGAATGCAAATAGTCCTGTCTGTCATTGTCAAAGCTTTATTTAAAACACATGACTGATGATGGAATTAACTGCAGTCAGTTCAAAGACAGCCGCATGTAATTTAATAACATTTATAATTAAAGAAGTTACATTTATTTACCTTAGACAAATATAATCATGTGCTTACTATTACGTATTGCTCTTAAATATTTGCTCAACAGGAGCTGTTCCTGTGCGAGGTAACTATCAATGTAGCATTAGCAACAACTAGCATAATAACACAAATCCTGCTAACATCTAACGATAACACCTTCCATTTCAATGTCACAGCCTCCAGTTTTGGTGATAGGCACATGACCAAAAAAGCAACCCTTCTTTGACAACCTCTCATACCGTGGGCCTGGTTGTTTGCTGTAGCTAACAGGACATTAACAAGCTGTTTTATTAGCCGTCCACATGCGACTCTGAGGCGCCACTCAGACAGACGGCTGCCCGGCGCTGCTGCTGTTAGCCCCGCAAGCTAAGCTAGCTACAGAGCACAAGGCACTGCTTGGAGCCGAGGACCCTCAAAACAGAGCGATAAAAAACATCCACCTACCTGGCACACACCACATACAGTCCTCTAACTCATTATGGGATTTTTGTGTATTCCTATATTAGGTTTAAAGATTCGTATTAGTGTTATTTGAGAGGTAAGTAGCCGAGAGCAGAGGACCACAGCCCAGCCCACTCTGTCTCAACCACACATGACGTCACCAAAACATTACCACCGAGATGCATTGTGGGGCAGGGGAGTACTCCAACAGGTTGTATGATACAAATATCCATATTATTATACATATACATATGATATGTTTTTATATAATGCTATAAAGTAAATTCACGAACTGTGTCTATATTCACTGTGTTTCAATGTTTGCATCACAGGTATATATATATATATATTATGTATTTATATATATATATTTAATTTAACTACATATGAAGAAGTATTCAGATACAAAAAGAAGTAAACAAAAACATAGCATTTCTGAATTCAAAAACCTTTTTCAAGTGCAAGTACACAAGTAGCCTATTAACAGAAAAAATAAATCAAACATCAAAAGGTATTCATTGTGCAAAATCAGAATCAGAATCAGAAACAGGTTTATTACCAGGTAGGTTTACACATACGAGGAATTTGACTTGGTGTCATGGTGCATAAAAACAAGAATAAAAAACACAGATAGAGAACTAGAAAAATATTAAAAATAATAAAAAATATAGTAAAAATATAACGGTATTTACATTGCAATGGAATGGAATAGAAGGAATAAAATATGGAATACAAATCAGCAGTAATACAAAATATTGTTGTGCATTGTGTGCATTAATGTAATGCATATGAGTCTGCGTTAAGGCTGAGGTAAAGTGTCAGTGGGGGGGGGCGGGCGTTGTTTATGAGGCCGGTAGCGGAGGTGAAGAAACTAATAACAAATAACACTGTTTCAGAGTTTTTTATAATAATAATAGCTTTAAGAATAGGTTGCTCAAACATTATGTAAAACACTTTCTGATTAGTAAGCAATACGTGTCTTACAGTTTAAGCAGGGAATACGTTAAGTCAGGCCACAGTGCCTGAAATAAACAACACTTCCACTTAATTTAAAAATAAATTGGTCCTAATTCACCTTGAAAAATAAAATGTCCTTTGGAAAAAAGAGCAGTGGTGCTGTTTCAAAGAGCAAATGTCCTGCATTTATTCAGCGGGTCTGTAGTTTAGATCCTCAGCAACTGAACAACATTGATTGTAATCATGGTTTACCACTTCATTGAAACATTTCCTTTGATTGCTCCAACAGTATTTCACCTGAATATTATTTGACCGGTTGATACAACTGCTTTCTTGTTCTGTCCACCCAAACCTAAAAAAAAGAGCACTCTTTCTCCTAAAGACTTCAGGAAAACTAAGTGACCTTTCATCTACGGAGCAATAAGTTAATTTCACTTGTCAACAAACTCTACCTAGATGTATTTAATTTGAGGTTTGCTCAGTGGCTGTTCAGGAAAATGTGTGCACAGAGAGAGAAAATGGAGAATTGTATCAAGTAGCAGATATGTCTTCCCTCATACAATAGCCAGTGCTGTTTGTTCTTACTTACCTGGGGCTTTCGTCTCCAGTGTGTCGGAGCGAGACGCAGCCGGTATCTGTTCTCCACGAGTAAGGCTCCAGCACAGAGACACATTGTCCAATGCTTTTTTAATTAAAGACCCTGGGTCAACACTCTGTGCCAGGTGACCTGAACTGCTGCCGGAGTGTGTGTGTCTACCACTATTCCTCCTGTGATACGTCTCAGTGGGTAATTAGAGGGGGGAAATGCTATACTGCTATCATGAGATGGAGGAAGGATTATCCACTAAGGACTTCAACTTAAGAGGAGGGCACAGTGGAATAATGTAATGTTTTCTTCCTTCTACATCCAGCCCACCTGCTTCATTCTCCCACCTTTTACCCTCTCTCCTCTTCTTTCTCCCTTTCTGTCTCAGGACCAGGTTACAAGAGAGGGAGGGTTATAGCTGAGTGACTTTTTGTTCCTATGATATCCACCTGCTCTTCATCTGTGTTGTATTAGAGAGATTGTCCCAAGCAGGTTTTCTACCAGAGCCAAAATGGATCGTCTAGAGAGAAGACTGACGGTAGCTTTCCTCCTCCTCCTGCCTCTTCTGTCCATAAGCTGTGCTGCACATCAAAAAACTACAGGTACAAAACAACCTCAACTTGCAGGTTTAATACAAATGTTGGATACTTAACTTAACTTAGGTGCATGTTTAAATGTATGCTTCACTCAAGATGACACACTGAATAACACACTTGCAGATGCAGTGTTTGTTCTCTTCTACAGCTTTAATTTTCACTTCATTTTCAACTCTTCCCCACTGTTTATTTCAGTCTCCTGGTGTGTATTGTCTGACGCTGAAGAGCAGAAGTGTCTGGATTTGGCCGGGAACGCCACAGCTCGGAATATTCGAGGAACTTTGGAATGTGTCCGTGGTGAGGACACCAAAGATTGTTTAGACAAAATCAAGGTACGCAAAGAAACTGGGATGGGAAATCATATTGATCAGTCTGCATTACACAAAATGAATATTTTCCTTCATTACTCAAATCAGCAGTTCTTCAGGACGATTCTGTTTCTTTATTTGTTGTTGATTAACTGGTCACATTTAGTTATTCTTCAGAATCACCTATAATGTATCTATGGTCAAAGAGTAGATACATACTTTCAAATACATGACTTATGTTTCATAACAAAACAAACAGCTTCCATAGTTTTTGCAGTTCAAGACAATAGTGTATATTTAATAATGACAGAATAAATGTGTCTTTGTCAGGATGGGAAAGCGGATGCAGCCTCCATGTTTGCAGATGACATCTACGCTGCCGGCCTCTGTCATGGCCTGGAGCTCGCTGCAGGAGAGTCCCACAATGGAGAGGGTAAGTCACAGGTTTGAGCTTTGCAGCAGGTAACACTGGAAGCACTAAAGCATCAACAGTTAACTATTATAAGTCTTGTAAGGTCATGGTTGTGCCTGAAAAGTTTGTTCAGGTTGATAGAGCCATATATAGAGATACATACTAGTATACATGGTTCACTGTTGATATGTTGATATGTTCTGTTCTGTTTTGGATATGTTTTTACTGTTTATACATATATTTGCTGCACATATTTTATTACATTTTAAATCCACGTGCAATGCTTTGTGTGACAAAAGAATTTCCCAAACTGGGATCAATACAAGTTTTTCTTATCTTATCTTATATACAGTGTGTAGACATTTCATTCTCAGAGTAGCATCACTATGTATTGTTATTATTCTCTCTTATCTTTCTCCAGATGGCTATAGCTACTACGTGGTGGCGATGGCCCGCCGCTCTTCCTCAGACCTGTCCCTGCTGGAGATGCACGAGCGCAGCTCCTGTCACCCCGGCATCCGCACCACCGTGGGCTGGACGGTTCCCATCGGATACCTGGTCAACACCTCGCAGATCAGCATTGGGGAGCAGTGCAACTTTCCCAGAGGTGAGACAGAGCAGGGCGAGGGGGGAGGGGGGAGGGGGGGGAGATGAGGTGAAGCGGGAAAGGTGAAGGGGTGCAAGTGGAGTTGTGTGTCCATGTGAGGAAGCTATATGAGAGGTTCAGAGGGAGGAGGCAGTGATGTGGAACCAAGAGTGAAGGGATGGAGGTAAGAGGAGACGAGGCAGTTAGAGAACAGTGCTTTTGTCTCTGTAAATCACAGTGTGTGTGTGTGTGTGTGAGGGGGGGGGGGGTAACAATGAACAGACATATTGGAAAAGAGCAAGGAAGCAAGATGGAGAAAATCAATACATTTTTTAAGGGATAAAAAACCCGATGAACCTTAAATGAATTGATTCCACTTAGGAAAGTGTTGTCATATCAAAAGGCTGATTTTGAGCTATATTGATTTTTAGAAACCAAAATGCATCCAAAGATGTAAAAAGTCAGCCGCAGGTTAACACAGCATTATTTCCCCCAGTTCTTATAATGATTTTAACCAGTTGATTAATAAAAATATTATACCTTTAATGAATAAAACGTTATGTTTGCTATACCCATTTATTAATTGTTTTAATAAGTTTGAGGCTTCGAGACACAGACAGGGTAGGATAGTAGTGTTGCTTTGTACTGAGAGATGGACAACCTCTTTTTTCATGTGATTCTTTGACAATAAAGAAATATAGAATAATACCAAATGTGCTGCTTACTTACAGTGTTACTTCCAAAATATATTCAGTCTTCACATAACCAAGATAAGCTGCAAATCTGCACAAATTAGAAGCAAAGTAAAGATCATTTGTCATCTTGAATCATTATTAAAATAGTTCCCTATTCATTTTGTGTCAATTATGAAGTGTTCGACCCGTCTTTCTCCACTTGTCTTGAATAGACTTTCAATCATTTAGTGTAATTTGAGGGGAGTTGAGGATAAGTTAGAAGTGGCTAATTTGAGGACTGGCTTTTTAATTAAAAATGAATTATCCTCCTTCAGCCTTTTCCTATTATTCTGCAAACTCGTTCTTTGTCTTTTTCCCCAGCCGTTGGGAACTTCTTTGGTTACAGCTGTGTGCCGGGTATTAAGGATGAGCAGCACGACCCCAAAGGAAACAACCCCAAGAACCTGTGCGAGGCCTGCATCGGAGACGACAACGACCGACACATCTGTGCAAACAACCCCCGAGAGAGACACTACGGAGAGTCCGGGGCGCTGAGGTAACACACCGATACACAAATATTAATAATTACACATCTAATGTAAATAGACGGCTTCAAAACATAACCACAACAGCAAAATAAAAACTCAATCCAATACAAATTCCAACAGAATCAATCAAATGGCAATTAAAAATGATTCAAGTAAAATATAAAATAATTGTGTATGAGATATACACAGTAAAGAAAAACTGCCCTTAAGAAAAGTTCTGTTTTAATTGGCACCCAAAGGTGGAGTGATTTGTATGACCTCTGTCTCTGTGTCCCCCCAACTTTATGTCTAGTGGCATACTGTCTCTATAAAGTAAAAATAGTAATTAAAGCAGCTTGTTTCATTGTAGCATACAGAGTCAAATAAATCAATGAAACAGTGATGAATGACACTGATAATGACACTAGTGTGTGTTTAAAGGTCTGTAGAAGTTATAACATATGAGTAACAGGCAAACCTGACTGCAATCAAAACAAACCGTTTGGATTCTCAATTACTGCGTGCTGCAAGTCATTTTTTATAGTCATTGTGTAAAGTTCTAGAGTCTAGACAATGACGTGATTGTTTTTACCACTGGTGCGGTACTGCTCGTTAAAATTAGGCGCAGCAGTGAAGAGTGTTTGAGATGGGAATTAAAGCTGCTGAAGGGGCTGTTTTTAATTCTTAAATGACAAGAATAGGAGCATAAGGGACTCTACTTATGATCTCCAGAGACATACAAAAACCCATTTGCGGATTTAATCTGTATTCATCTATTTATAGAAACATCTGATTATTAACTGGGTGTTATGCTTTTTCTTTCAGGTGTGTGGCAGAGAACCTTGGCGACGTGGCCTTTGTAAAACACTCAACCATCTTTGACAATTTGGACGGTAACTTGCATTTTATAGACTACTCCTTGTGATATCATTTTATAACTTAAATGATTTATGATGAGGTTAATTGGGGCCAGCAGAGAGAAAGACAGAGTGCTAATCCATGTTGAGACACAGGATGTCAGTGTTTCCCAATGTTTAAGAGACATTTACAGTGTGCAAAATCCATAATGAACAGATTACAATGTGTATAGTATAGAGAACATGTGTGTTTGAGACAAAGACAAACAGAGAGAGTGATAAGCGTAAAATACAACATACGTGAGAAACAAATATCATACAGACACAAAAGGACATACAGTAGTTCATTTTTGTCCAGCAAAGTAAATGCCCTAATTCCTTGTTTGCTGCATCTGCTCCTCTGCTTTGGGCAACATCCAAAATTAATGGAGATCATTATCACAGTCACGCTACACAGACTCTGCTGGTACAGCCGAGAAGGAGCACTTTGAAGCCGGCTCCACAAACACTGTAGCTGTTTAACGAAGCATGCTTTCTCATATGGTTCAGAAATGTCCGGAGTCAGAGCCATTAACGGAGGTCAAGAAAACACAGGAGGTCTGTGCTGCTGTCTGGGGGAAGAGGGAATAGCTTCAAGGTGGTTTATATTTTGCCTCTAATTATTTATTTGGATTAATCGTTGTTTGGTGCTTCAGTTGCCCAAACAAATCTCTAAATGCAAAATGTAAAAATATAAAGTCCACATTCCCGTCCACATGCAGATTTAATAAGTAGTCTGAATTGCAAATGAATGAAGGGAGATGTTTCTAATGCAGTTTGGATAGAACACATCTGTTTGGACACTGTTGAGATAGCAATGTCTAAAGAAAAGTCAAATAAATATGGACTAAATGATGGATTTAAGTGCTTTTGTAATTTAATGTGCATTGTCCATTCTGTAATAAATAAATACAAATATATTTTGCCTGCAAATTAGAGCACTTAGGTTGCAAGGAGAGTACCATCAGTGGCAATATAGGCTGTAGGTGTGTGATTTAATCAATTGAGCTATAGGGAAACATGCATCGCTCTTTTATAAAGCTTGATCATCTCTCTTCTTATGCCCATATTCTCGCAACAAGAGAGCCCTGTAAAAGGGTCTTTCATATGTACTTGATGGCCACTTGCATATTATGCCATACTAAAAAAGGCAATAGAGACTCAAAAAGAGCCTAAAGCTGCAGGTCCCTGACAAAAGGTCTTCACCAGCTGATGAAGAGCTAAACAAATGTAATATTATCTAAGATTCATGCTTTACTTTAAACAGGACAGCAGCTAGGGCAGGAGAGAGCAAACAACCATGGCCTCAGCTTCTACACAGTGTCAGTTTTGAGCAGCCACCGTTTTTTCTCTTATGGATTTTTGCAGTGTTTGCCAGTTGTGTGTGAATGCATGAACGGGTGCAGCTGCTTTGCTAATGCAAATGTCTGCCTTACTGTAACCCCACAAAACATTGAGGCAATTTAATAACATGCCCCTTGCCTTTTGGTCAAGGTTAGTGAGCCGGTAACCTTTGCAGCTGACAGTAGGCCAATGATCAGGCTCTGTGATCCTATTCCTTACATTTATTTTCTTGTGCTTTTGATTACAGCGAGGGTTAAAAAAAACTCCAAACTCTTGACATAGCCCACACATTATCTGGAGGATGGAGTTTAGCGGGTGGCCATTGAGCATTACTTATGAATAACATTTTTTATTTGTTGTAGGAATAACAACATACATTGTGTCCTTTTCATTTCTATTTGAATATGTGATAAAGTTATTTGAGTACGAGTTGGTTGAATTTAAATCTGACACTGCTAACTCTTCCGGCTGCCCCCCAGGTAAGAACCAGGAGTCGTGGGCGATGGATCTGGAGCAGGAGGACCTGAAGCTGCTGTGCCCTGACGGGACAGAGGCCAATCTGGACGAGTTTGAGCATTGCCACCTGGCAGCTGTCCCCGCCAACGCTGTGGTGGTGCGCGTGGAGGACAAATGTCGCGTCTGGAAGTTCCTGGAACGTTTACAGGTGTGTGTCTGTGTTAGGAAACAAATTGAATCAGCTGTGTATATGTGTGTTATTCTCCAGAAATGTGTTTGTGTCTGTCTCATATCTCTGTGGAGTCTGTGTTATCGATCAGCTCGTCTCAGAGCACAGGTTTCTGCTTCACTGTCATCCTTCTTCCTTCCTTGAGTGCGTGTGTGGGAGACGCCAGGCTGACTGATATGTCCTCTGCTGATCCCTGGCTACACACACACACACACACACACACACACACACACACACACACACACACACACACACACACACACACACACACACACACACACACACATACACATACACATACACATACACATACACATACACACACACACACACACACACACACACACACACACACCCAAAAGAAACACACACAGAGTACGCCAACGCACATCAATGCATGCCTTCATGCATTAACGTCCTCTCTCCTGCAGAATGCGTTTGGCAATGCCAACGAGGGGTTCCGCCTGTTCAGCTCAGCGGGGTACGGAAAATCCAATGTGCTTTTCGATGATGACACCCACCACCTGCAGAGGGTTCTGGGTAGTTACACCTCCTGGCTGGGCCCCACTTACACCACCGTGCTGCAAGCCTTCGAGTGTGAGGGTAAGAGTGATGGTGTCTCTATGCGTGCTGTGTTTATCTGCAAATGACGTATGTGGCTAAGTGGTTGGAGGTGTGTGTTTCCTTTGTGTTTGTGTGTATTCAATGCAGCTGCTTTCTTTCCAACAGGCTTCTGCTGATGGAGCTGGAGGAAGACATCCAGCGCCTCAACCTCCACCCCATTCCTCTGATTCTTCCTGTTCTGCCTTTCCCACTCTGTCTCGCCATCTCTTATCCTCTTTGCTTTGTTTCTTGATTTTTTTTTTTTTTTTTTTCTGCATTTCAACACCCATTTTATATTATTACGTCCTCCTACAACCTAATGGAGGACATTGTTAAGAGAGGATCATATCCTTAGAGAACTCCCCAAAGTGTCCCCAAAATTGAATATAGGTCTTAAAAGGACACGGAGAAGAAAGGGTGAGAATATAAAAACAATAAAATAGAACATGTTACGTCTATTAGTGTTGTTGTAGTTGTTTTTGTGTTTGAAGCATATTCAAAGGAGAAGATTTGGGTACAATTACCCCGTAATATAAAAATGTAAACCTATAATATTGATTTAAAAATACAAAATAACTAAATGTTCCTACCCTGTATGTATGTCAGGGAATTGTGTCCTTTTTGTTGCATTAGTCTAAGTGTCAGTACCACCCCTACACCCCTACACCCCCACCCCCACCCTCCCAACACAGGGTCTGTCTCTGACACTGAACAACTGGGTGCTATTAACTTTGAGCTTAGAAGTCTCAGTTACTGTTTGTGTGTGTGAGTATATACTTTTCCCCACAGCCATTATTGCCCTAATTGGCATTCTGGCATATCATACTGTTTGTGTGTAAGTGAGAAATAGTGTGAGTGTGCATGTATGTGTATGTGAGTTGGTAGGAGTGCTGCTTTCCCATGGCTTGCATCGCTTAGGACTTTGGATCACTGCTTTCTGACGGCTGTGCCAGCTCTCAGGGCATTGTTACACTTTAGGAGAAACTAGATTAGGGCTTGGGTTGTCTCCAGTGACCCCTGAGTGTTTCTTTTTTTAAGCTTTGATTATTTCCTCATTTGTGACCAAAATGTAGTCTTGAATACCCACTTTGTCTGTCCTGCTTTAACGCGTAAAGGAATACGTGGAATCCTGTTGCTTTTTCCTGCAATTTATCATTTATATTTTAAGATAGCTAATATTAGCGAGACGTTTACTATGAAAGAAGTGACTAGCAGGAGTATGTTTGAGCCTGGTACAACATGGAGAAATTAGTCAGTGCAGTGCAATTGTCATGAAGAAGAGAATAACTGAATTAATGTACTATGAAGTAATGGTGATTTTCAAAATAATCCACTTATTTGTCTGATATGTTTAAGGAAGTGTAATTAAAGATTCACGGTTAAATCACCAGCGTGCTTAAAGCCCTACTTGACCTACAGAATCATGTACTGTAAAATGTATAACGGACTGTAATTATGGGCTTAAGCTGTCGTCTCCATCTTTATTATTTCTCTTGCGTTCTGCACCAGAGCTCGGCAATAAACTGATAAATCGGATTAAGTTCTCCTCGTCAAACTGTGGTTTTTAACCTCATTTTACTGGAAGAAATCCAATGAGTTAGAACCAATACAACAGATACAAATACATTAAAGTGGACCTATCATGCTATATTATAATAATATAGTGTAGGACCATACCTATATAAGGCATATTTATACTTCTTTTTTTTTCAAAATACCAAACAGATCATGCATTTTAGCCATGCCTCATTTCGCTCAATTTGCACTTTTAAACCCCTGTTTTTGCAAGGTCTGATTATGTGAGAACAGCACCATCTACAGGCCTGGCATATGTACTACAGCGTCTCCAGCGCTTTCGAACGGCAATGGCCGTGGCTGTCTCCTCCTGATTGGTGGAGTTGGCCCAATAGCCGTAGCGCCACCGTCCTGACGTCAGGACAGTGTTCAAATCTGGATCAGTTTTTATCAGATCCGTTGCAGCCCCTTTTTTAGAGATTTGGGTATGGAGGAAAATAGAGAGGGTTGTGTTTTCTGACACTTGGTGAGTTCCCTGGAACACTGGGGACACATATTCCTGTATAAAAGACGTACAAAAGTGCATTTTGCATGATAGGTCCCCTTTAAAGTATTTACAGTGTGACTGAAGCAATTACTCTTTTTTTGAAAGAAACTAATGCTCTATTCTAAATAAAACACTGCCAGGTTTCTGCATGTGTTACATTTTGGCTCCTGATGGCAAAAAACTCCCCAAGTGTGAAGGTGCAAGATGGAAAACGCCACAGGAATTGAAAGAAGCGATATATTGCACCTAATTTGCAAATGGCGTTCCTGTTGTACTCATTATACTCTGGTTTGTACCAATGGTGCTGTTTCTACTGTTGTCCAACACGCTTCAAATATTGTAAATAAATACTCCTCACAGCTTGAACATGTAGTGCTGCAAACCTTCTTTTTTCTCAACCAATTAAATGAACGATGATAAATATAATAATCCTCTTTGGTCTTTTCTAGCTGACTTCTAATTATCCTGAAACAGCTGCATGATATCTGTGTGGAAATGAATTATGCTTGATATCATCGCTCTCAGTCCATCTCACACTCTCGCTCTCAGTCTTTCTGCCTCTCCCACACACACAAACACACACACATACATGCACTCAAACACACACACACAAAGAAATGGGCTGTTTGCCCCCTCAAGGCCATTTGGGAAAGGAAGGAGGGAAAGGGGGGAGGGATAAGGATGTAGAGAATTTGAACAAAAGGGAGGTCACACACACAAAGACCTGCATACAGAGACTCAGGTGTTCACTCAGGTGGAGAGAAGCACCTCTCAGGTAGACAGGTGAACCGGGGACACAAGACCATCATAGGTGGTCCCCAAGCAGAGATGTAAATGCTCCAAATGCCCCTGCTGGCACTGCCTCACATCTTTCACAACATTAATCCTTAAGAGGAAGTCTGTGTCTGTGACGGAGTGGTATCATTTAGCAGCGAGCAGATACTGTAGATGAAACTGCAATGCAGCAGAGTGCTGCAATCACTCTCAATCCTCAGCTCTCTGGCTGGCCATTTCGCTGTAATGCACAAATAAAAGCAACTAATGTGGCCTCAATATGGCCCTCTCAACCTCCAGGCGTGGGTTTGTCAGAGAGGAAGTTGTGAAATACCAGTGGTGGGAAGTAAGTAGTAATGTAATAATTTTGCACTTATATAAACTGCAAAAAAACAGATAATAAAAGTGAAAAAGGACTGAGGGGAAGAGATGAAGAAACTATACTCTGATGCAGACTAAGTACCCCAAATTAAAAGTAATAAAGTTATATGGAAATAATAAACTAGTCAAAATAAAATACACAATGCATCTGGCAAACTTTCCAAGGAATTATAGTTCACTGTTATACAATTAACCACCCAACTAAGAGTAGGTCAAATTAGCATCTTTTGACCAATTTTTGTACACATTTTAGTTTATGACACTTCACTTCTACCACTTCTACTCTTCCAAAATGACATATTTGGCATTTATCTGACATACCATTTACTTTTAAATGACTTATTGCTGCAGTTGTACATGATTACATAGGCTAGTTTAAGGGCCTTCACATTGAAAAAACCCACAATCACTATGTTGCTTGCCATCAAATGAATGACAGTATATGGCATATTATGCTTAATAAGCACTCCTGATACTTAATGACTGAAATAGTTCTTTATATATTGTAGTATCAAACTCTGGAAAGGTCTAGTTTGCATAAAGAGCACCTACATTTTGCTTTTCAACATCAAAGGTGTAATCATTTTTCCTTTTCCAGAATCACTTAGTCTACATTTGACTTTAACCTGAATTGAGTGTCTGAATACTTAGTCCTGTCACTGTGGATGCTAATATGTCTATGTATAAAAGTATGTGAGGATGCGGTGATAATGTGTGTGTGCGTGTCATCTTGCGTGTGTGTGGGTGTCTTTACCTCCAATGGCACGGGTGACGGCAAGGCGAGAGTGGCAGAGAAGGGAGGGATGACAGTGATGGAGGGAGAGAATAGAGAAGAGTGACAGGTAATCCATCAGAGGCGTTACTGTCATTATTCAATTACCACCCATCCTTAGCACTTCTGATAACCCCAACACGCGCACACACACAGGCGACATACCCACCGGTGCAGGCAGTGGGAAGTTGCATCGAAGAAGCTGATCTTCTTACACAAGGTGGGTTTGTACTGTGTGGGTGGGGAGGTGAGCCGGGACACAGGGCTTGGCACTGATTCTTTATATGCTTTTAGTGCAGCAGACCCTTAAATCTCCACTTCTTCCTCTCTCATGCCCTCTACTCCCTCCCCACCTCTCCCATCATTCACTTTCCTCTCCTCCTCATCTGTCTTCCCCTTTCGCCTCTCTCTCTTTCCTTCTTTCTCCATCTCTAGTTCCCATTGTATCCCCATTTCCCTCTCCCTCATCCCCCTCCTTTCATTCTTCTTTCATTCTTTCTTCTTCGTCTTCTTCTTCTTCTTCTTCTTCTTCTTCTTCTTCTTCTTATCTCCTTCTTCTCTTGCCTTTTGCTTGTTGCTTCTCTCTTCTTATTCTTCTCTTCTTCGTCTTCTTTTCTTCTTCTTACTTCTTATTCGTATGCTCTTCTTTTCTTTTCTTCTTCTTCTCTTCCTCTCTACAGTTCATTCCCTCTCATTGAGCCCGGAGCCGATAAGGAAACATGGAGTATGATTAGACGCAGTGACACCAGGCTATCTCTCTGCTCCCATAACGCTCCCCAGGATCACTTACACAATAAAAGCCAGCTCTACACCACACACGCACACCCCACACACACACACACACGTCGCACCACACACACACACACACACACACACACACACACACACACACACACACCACACACACACACACACACACACCACACACACACCACACACACACACACACACACACACACACACACACACACACACACACACACACTGGCTGAGACTGGCTATCAATCCTAAATATGTTTTGCACACCAGTTTGTGTGATGGCACATGTTGGCTCCATAATGACACACGAGCCGGGTGACAAATGACCGTGAGCTGCAGATTGTTTGCGTGTGAAGTGGTGTGTGTGTGTGTGTGTGTGTGTGTGTGTGTGTGTGTGTGT